ATACATAAATGTAACTCATTACTTTAGTCTGCTATAGAAATAGTATCATTCGGTTATATATATTTTAAAGCTATGTTATAAAATATTATCAAATATTGATTTGAAAACCTCCAGCCATATGAAAAACTTCTTGGCACATTTTATAAAAATCACTGTTGGAGATATACATTCTATCTATGTTTTCTGGCGATGTCTTATAAAAAGATCTGTGCTAAATATTTCTTTTAGAATTTAGCACCAGAGAAACTTTGTTTTTGTTCTCTGAACTTATTATTTATTTTTGTCAGACAAGGAAAACCTTTTTCATTTTCATAGAGACCTAGGTTAATGTGTTCACCTTTGTGAAGCTTAGGACAGTGGGGTGCATATAACAAGAACTCTATATTTTCTGAATAGATTGATTCAACCATAATTTCTCTTTTTACATTGGTTGCAAGAAAGCTTAGGGCTAAATGCAGTAACTGTAGTAGTCTATATTATGATATACTTATTTCCCTCAACAGTTCTGTTTTTATGTTTTTAGTTCCTCTTTAAACTTATTGAACATGTTTTAATTATAAGCCACTGAAAATCCTTTTGAAAATAGGTATAGAATGTTATTTTATTTTCTAGATGATAAAAGACAGAATCATTTAACTTCATGTTTTTTTCTCTAACAACTTATGAAATGAAGTACATTTGCATTGGAGAAATATGTTCCACATTTCTAAAGCATGACCAGACTTTTAGACAGAAAAACAACACAATCAGAAAATACATATACCAGATGATGAAAAACAAAATGGTTGAACTTCACCTTGTTTTATTACAAGACATGAGGAGGCATATTCAAGGTATATAAAACATTTGCTATTTTAAAACTTCCAGGAAGAAAGTTTAATATTAAAAATGAAAATCCCCAAAGCCCTAGCTTTGTAGTTTTATAAAACGGTGTCCTCTAAACCTTTCTGAAAGTAAAGAGAAAGACCTAAATCTAAGCCCAAAGTTTAGACTGCTGAAGAGAGAATAACATTCAGTGGCCTGTTCAGCTTATCAGACAGGGGTCTTGTCACTGTGCCTGAAACAATGAAATCCAAAGCTCCTATTCAGGACTCACTCACTCCTTGGGTTTCATTAAAGGAGAGAGGGCGGGATAGAGATCCAGGTCAGGCTCAACCAGAAAGTACCGGTTGTAAGGGTGATCTGGCAAATTCTTTGTCTTCCTGGTGTCAACTGCAGTTATGTGCGTGTGAGGATCATGGAATCACAACTCTATTCCACCTTGGTATTCTTGTTGGAGGCATGGCTCTCTTATTTAGCTCTTTTACTCTTTCTTTTTTTTTTTTTTTTAACTCAGCACCTGCTGGTTCCGGCTGCAGCCTCTTTTTAAATGATATTACAAGTAAGAGCCTATTGAAGAGGTAGGCTTTCTTTAAAGTTTATTTCCATTTTTGTAGGCAGAATGTGTGTTCTTGTATTAATAGCTTTAAGGTGGGCTCAAAAAAAAGAATTGTGTGTGGGGTGTTTAAAAAAAAGTTTTAAACCTTTAGTATTAATGACATATAAGGGGAAAATGAGAGTGTGTTAGGATCAGCACTCCCCTCTGGTGGGAGAGTTCACGAATGTTTTGTCTAACAAGGGAAGTGACTGACATTAAATGAGCCGTGAGCACACAGCAAACTTCTAGGAACGTGAGTCACTTGGTTCCTGTTTTCTCTCCTCGGGGAGTTCTGAGCATGTGAGACAGAAACGAGGAGGACTTGTTCTGTCTTGTTCTGTCGTTAGTGCTTTCTCACTTAGTTAGCCTCCAGTGTTTTTTTCACTGATGGATTGTAAAATCATGGTTACTTATTTAGTCCTCATGTAACTTATTTTTATTCCAGGTCTTAGCAACAATTACTTAGAAAAAGCGAGCACTCACATTTTAAGTAGAAGCATAAGGGAAAAATATAAATTGAGAGCACGTGACATACTGAGTCTCTAGTTGTCTCCTTTCAATTTTTCGAAAGTTTGTGTTCCAAAATTCAGAAAAATGCAAATACTGTTGGGAACTTGGATATGCAGAGGAACATGAATATTATTTTAATCATGTCTGAAAAGAGTGATACATTGTATTTTAATATAATCATCAAGAAAGGTAAAGACATCTAAATTAAATTCAAGGAAAATTGTTAAGTATGCAATCAATGTTTAATTAGGAATTGCAAGCTTCAATTGGCCTTATCTTCATTCCTGTCTTAAATTTAGATTTCAAGTAATAGGTATTTTAAACTTTACTTTTATCTTAAAAAGTCTTCTTTGGAATTTACTACATTAGTCTCATGTCAAACTAGAAGACTTGGAATAGTTTTCATTTATAAATATTTAAAAACAAATTCTCTTTCATTTTCATGTTTAATAAAGTGATAAGATAGAAAATAATGTTGATTAAAAGCATTGACACTGACAATCTGAGATTGAAACCAAACTCAAATATGATCTTTTTGGAACAAAAATTCAATCCCCCAAAACACACATATTTGCATAGTGATTGTGACCAGCATGAAGAGTTCTTTGTTTCAGGGATAAGATTCTCAGGAAGAGGTTTGATTTTCCTGTAAGTCCAATGATGGATAGTTCAATGGAGAAATATTCATAGAATGTTAAATTGTTGAACATTTTTCCCAAATGAATTAGTTTGCAAAATGGGTATAAAAGTACTTTAAACACAGTTAGTAAGCTACTTCTTGAATGGAAATAAAGTCCTTATGAAATCTAGAAATATTTTAGGCCATAGTAAAGTTAAGTGTGCTAGGTAGTAGCTAATCATAGTGCCAAGATACAGTTATTGGCCCTCACTAGTGTAGCTGAGTGAGTTGTGCATTGCCCTGCACACCAAAGGGTTTCTGGTTTGATTTTCTGCCAGGTGTGAGAGGCAAGCGACTGATGTTTCTCTCACACGTTCACATTACTCTCCCCCTCTTGTTCACCCCTTTTCCCTCTCTCTAAAAATAAATAAAATCTTTTAAAAAAGATACAATTATCTAATAAAGCTATAGAATTTAAATCTGATTTCTTTTAAAATGTAAATATGTGAGCCCTGGCTGGCATAGCTTAGTGGATTGAGCGCAGGCTGGGAACCAAAGTGTCCCAGGTTTGATTCCCAGCCAGGGTACATTCCTGGGTTGCAGGCCATGACCCCCAGCAACCGCACATTGATGTTTCTCTCTCTCTCTCTCTCTCTCTCTTTCTCTCCCTCCCTCTCTTCCCTCCCTAAAAAAAAATAAATAATAAATAAATAAATAAAATCTTAAAAAAAAATATATAAATATGTATCATTAGCTTCAGAACTTAAATTTCTATTATTATCTTTTATTACTTTTAATATTTTCTTATAGATCAGCATATTCAAAAGTGTGTTCTTGGGAGCACTAGCACTGCAAAACTTGCCACACACAAAAAATGTGTTATTTATCAAACAAGATTGAATAAAGCTATGTATTATTAAGGTGTATTCATCCTTATTTTATGTTCAATAAGGACATCGTAAGGTTGTTTAAAAAAGGGTTGATCTTTTAAAGATGCAGGCTAAACCATTTGTGAATGAAATGATGCAGTTTCTGGCATTCATTTCCACATATTTCGGAAGTGGGCAAGGAAGGATGAGGGTGAAGAAAAGGATAGGTTAGCCGTGGGATGATGTTACTGAGTTTGAGTGACGAGCACAGTCAGGTTCATTACACTATCCACTCTACATTTGTGTGTTTTGTGACGTTAGAAATTCTCCATAATAAAAAATATTTATTTATCTGTGCTCTTCCCAAAAGTATTGAATATGAATTATTCTTTTCAAGGCACACCTATTACTATCTCTCCTGGACACTTTGGGAACAGCTACACAATAGTAGAACCAATGTTTATCCATGTATCATTGCCTGTGCTATTTTAGGCTTCTATCACATGAAAAGTTTTATTTATATGTTGAAAAACATTAAGATAAAAGTGAAAAAAATTAACAAAAGAATCGCTTTATTATTTCCAAATTCTAAGAGGGCTGTAGTATCTACAAATAAAACAACTGATTGACTGATTTTTTAAAAATTTCATCAAGATTTACTTTGTATATAAATATAACATCAGAAATATTGTTAAAGGAAATGCAGTTTCAAAAGGAATGAGGGCTAGTACACATTTTGAAAGATAAGAAGCAATTACCTTTAATTGAGTATTAGTCATAAATGCAATTACAAACGTTTAATAGCTAAACGGTAAACTCCATTAAAAAAAACCCCCATATATCGTAAACAACATCAATGATTGCATTTTTATATTTTTATCCTAAATTTTGCATAAAATTCAAGCATCTCTTAAAATCTCATTTGCATAACTATAAAGTATTTCATATTCCAGAAAAATTATATTAGGTAGAAATATTCCTCAAAATATCCTATAATTGCTAAAAAATGTATATTTTTATATAGAATTCTTTGTAATTTTGCATGTGTCAGAAAATACACTTTACTTATTAAGTTAAGGAAATTTGTCATTTTTAAAAAATCATTTATACAGATCTTTTTAACTTTCATTTAAATAGAGAAAGCCTATATTACTATTTATGGCTGTCTTTTCTGTCCGGCCTTTTTTAGAGACTAGAAAACATTTTTATTGTTGATGGTTATAAAAATTCAAGCAAGAACATTTGCATTTATTACAATATACTGACAAAAATTGCATTAATTTCCACTGATGCCCATTAATTTGATAAATGTTTTGTCATTTGTACCATTTGCATTGTCAAAACAAGTTAATTGTATCTTACTGACATTTTTGACAATTGCTTTAACTCTGGCAAAAAAAAAAAAAAAGTGTCTCATTTGCTTTAGAGAATTCGCTCTTGCCTATGGAAAGCCTGAACGAAGCAAGAGAGACTTTAGCACATGTCAGAAGGCTTGCACGGTTTAACTCAGGGTCAATGGTAAACAGTGAATCTCAGAACTATTTTATAGAAGTGCTCATATTTTGTAACAGAAAATACTATGTACCTGCATAATCTGTTCTTGCATAATGCCCATCTTCAGATTTAGTAGTTGTAGTTGTGTTATCTGTGTTAAAAAATTAACAATAATGATTGATGAACTATTTCTTAAAATATAATATCAAACATATTATTCTCCAACAGTATTTTCATTGCAATTAAGGAATTTTTACAACTATACTTCTAAGCAATCTTTATACAAAGACAGATTTAGCTTGAGAGTGAATACAGACTGATACCAGTTTTCTAAAGTTTAGAAGAAGGAGAAGGTTACAATTATAACTAAGTTGGATAAAAATTAACAAGTCGAAAATCAACAACATGTTTCTAAATAAGAAACAAAGTAGAACATTCTGGTATATTCTGCTTTAACAAATATATTTGAAATATTTCTGTTGAATTAGTACATAAAAATGGTGGGGCTTACTTTTCATTTCAAGATTGCCTAATAAATCTGTAGGTTTTTTGCTAAAATGAATTTAATTTTCTTTTTTTTCCCCTCTGCAACGAGAATACCTGTTATCTTCTGAATATTAGCTTCTGTGTTAATGGCATTGGGAAGATACAGTCCCATTATATAGAAAACAATATGGACCATTGCTGATAGGTCCTCAAGCTCCTATAATCAACACAAATGCTACAGTAGACTGTACTATCCATTATAAATCAGAACTGCCCTTCAGAAATGAAACAGCTGCCCAGTAAGTTATCTTCACTCTTGGTTTCTACACAAAGACTAAAAACATTCTTTGAAATGCATTTTAGTATGAACGTTACCTTGACATCGACCCAACGACATGACTTCAATTTTCTCCTGTTTCTGACATGATGCTTCTTTGATTTGACATGCATTATCATAAGATTTCCCATCAGAAGCACAGAGGGGATTGAAGTTGGTTTGAGAACAATCAATGTTGCACACACACCTAAAGAAAGAGGGAAATAAAAATGTGACATCAATAGTGTTGTTACAACATTATAAATAAAACGCAAAGTGGAAGAACTGCTAGGTTGGCAAAATGCAAGTTGGCAAAACTGAATTGTTTCCTTCACTTTTCTACCTGATATAAAAAGACACACTGATAAGTCAAACGACTGAGCAATGGAAAAAAATAAAAATGGAAAACTCAGAAAATCATCATCAGTTAGTCTCTGCCCCTGGAACATGTAAAGCACATACATGAACTTCCATGCTGATACCTGCAGAATCAGAATAGGCTGAAGCAGCCACAGAACTTTGCTTTACACTTTCCTAAAGTGAAATCTTTGTTAGTTTTTTTCTCTGGATATTTGAATGGAGAAAGCCTGAGGAAAATGAAGAAGATGATATTTAACAGAAAGCAAACATGGAGACTATTTGGAATGTAATCAGAAGTTAAATTTCCTCAGCATACACAAGGATGCACATAAAATGTGCTGAAGGAGAATCTTCAGTTGTCCTTAACATTTTGGGGGGACCACCAAACCCTTTGAGAGTCAAATGAAAGTTATAAATCTTTTCTCATAAATACCCAAACTCATATAAACAACTGCAGAATATTTTAGGGGTTTTGGAAGTCCCTCGAAGCCTGTTCCCTGGCCTCTTTCCCAGATACACTACTCTTTTCCTCCTTCAGTTTTAAATAGTAAATTGATTATCACTCATGATTTTAGTATGTTTCTTAGTATAAATGAAAATTTGGTGAAGTAATGAGAATTAGGTCACCTATATTAGAAAAATTAGATATTCTAAGCAAACGTTTAATGATTTTTAATGTTCTTATAATTCTGTGTTTTACAATATACTTTTTACTCAGAATATTGTGTTGTCTATAAATATTTACTGATATAGAATATAAACTCATATTTTATATTTTTATTAGTAGTTATATTGTATTTCTAAATAGATTATATGCTTCTCAAAGTGGTGAACCAAACATTTTACTTCTGTATATCTTCTTTAGAGCTGGACATGCACTATAATAATACCATTAACCAGCTGCATACTACTTGCTGGGTTCTTAATATGCATGGCTTTATTTATTCATCACAACCACCACTTTACAGACTTATATAAAGTCAGAGAGCTAGTAAATTGTGGAATGAGAACCCCCTACAGATGTGTCAAAATAAAATACAATCCCTTTCCTCTCGTAATGGAATGTGTATTAGAATTTCTTGGAAAACTTTATAATGATCCATTGGCAGGTTTTGGGGCTCCAGTAAAACTGGAGGTAAAGCCTAGAATTGTGTATTCTCAAGTAGCCAGCGGACATCAGTCTCACTTCTTGGGAATCACTAGTCTGTTCGTTGGTTGAGGGAGAGAGGGTTTGTCTACATACCAGTGCTTCTCAGAGAATGGTCCTATAGACCATCTGTATTGGAATGATCTAAATCACTGTTAAAAAGGCTGACAGAAAATGCACTAACGTACTTTTTTTTTGGTAAGAGAATTGCTTTAGGAGCACTTGGTTATTTTTACTTTTACCTATTTAGGAACAGATAGCTAGGACAGATGGTAACCTAGAAGATCTAAATGCTCAAGTCAATGAGGAGTGGTGTTCCTACTCCTGCGGGATGTTGCCCTGTGATGACAGCTACTGGAATCACGACATTGCTACCTAGGCTGATTCTTGGCATTCAAAAAATCCGAGATCATAAACTGCCCACATGTTCAAAGAACTTTTGGTCTTTTTCACAGTGGATCTAAAGAGGTGACTTTGTAGATCAGGCTTGTTTTCCCGAACCATTTGTAGTAAATAAAGAGAGGAGGGGACTGACATTTTTGAAAAAGTCTTTCCATTTATCTTCAAGCCAGTTTAGGTTTTGACTGTTGTGTTGGACTCTAGGGGCCATCTCCATGAAAGAGGAAAATAATGATCAGTGAGCAGCAGCAGAACAGAGAGAAAGCTGTGTTCTCTCTTATATCATTAGATTATGTAAGACATCAAGGGCTGCAGGTATTTGAACATTAAGTCCAAAAAAAAAATCAGAGATGTACACCATACATATTCTTGACAAAAAATGACTGGCAGTTCAGAAGTCCATTTGATATCATAATAAAATGGTAAAATAAGAATAGAAATAGAAAGAGAAAATTTGGTTCAAATGAATTGGCTAGATTCAATGTTTCAGTGTTTCAAAAGAAAATATTTTCAAAAGAAAAATTCATTTGATTAAGCCACAGCACCAAATTAACACAATTGTTTAGGATATCTTACTCCTGATAAAATACTCCCTTTTCAATTGGCTACTTTTTAAAAAGTTTGGTCTGGTTTTAATTTTACAGAGTTTCTGCTGCCAGCATCTTCTTCCCTTTCATTTCCTAGCACCATTTTCTCGTGTGTTTGTTTCGCCTTCGGGAATCCCCGACTCGTGCTGCCTCAGATAAATTCTTTGGAAAATGGCTAAGCAAAAAGCATAGACACATTTGGCATTTTTCTTCTAGTCTCAAAAGGAAGACCTTGATTCCTTGAGGTTAAAGTAAGGTACAGTCATGTCATGCCTTGTAAAAGCATGGTTATTTCTCCTTTTCTCTGCTGCGTGCTATCATTATATCTCCCTCTTTCCTCCTTCTTCTGTGGCCCTGCATATAATAAACAAATGCAGGAGTACAATAAAAATATTTTGCCTATGAGTTTCATCAACTATTGGAAACTGGAAGTCTATGGAGCATGCTTTTCTTTCTCTGAATAAGTGGAAGGAGTTTCGACAATTTTCCAAAATGGCTTGAAAACTATGTATTTCAGGAAAGGTGCCTACTGTGACTGCTTTACAAAGGATCTGCCATTTCCAAATTTATGTTAGACCAGTGAACTCTGATTATATAATCACTATTTAATTTTTGTATCTAAGTGTGTTAAGCTTAATTAGTTTTAAAACCATGCAGGATTCCAGAGACATTTTCTGAATCTCTTAGTTCATTTTGACATCTCTTGGTAATGGCTAAATTTTGTTTTGCATTCCCTGACCCACTTAATACCTTGCTTGCACACACTAAACTTTCAATAACTACATGGCCAATAGAAGAATGGATGAAATAAATGAATACAGCAATATTATTTTATATTCTTAAAGACAGCATAAAATTAATATAAATTGTCATTACTATACTGCCATAAAAACAGACATAGGGTAGCTAAGTAATTTTCTTGACAAATGTTAAGTGTCCTCCTTGAGATCAAATAAATATTCACCTGAATATGAAGATAATGATAATAATATTAGCTTACTTAAGAATAGTGTCTCTCCCACTGCTACATGCTTTATATGTTATTACTCCTTTCACCCTTCTGTCTCTATGAGGTAGCTACAATTATGACCTCCATCTAAGAGATAAGAAAATTGAGTCTTGGAGAAGTCACACAAATTGTACAGGAAGAACCCAATTTAAAAAACAGGTAGTTTGATGCCAGAACCTGTACTGTTTTAAATATTGTTCAGTACAAGGGAAAAATCAAGACAGATCAAAATTCATACTATTAACTAATTAGAGAGATATTTGGATAAATAGGGCTTGAAAAAAAGACTATATCTACTCTTGGAATATTTATTATGATGTTATAAATTTAAATCACATTGACTTTTAGTCTCTGTCTTCCCAAACAAATGATCTAGTCTTTTTTGTACCACAGTGATATAACAGTGAATATTCATTTAAAGATATTCTGAGCTAATGCCTGGTGTTAGAATGAATAATCTGACAGTTTAAGGCATCAATTGTTCAGAATATTTTATCCTTCACAAAACTCTATATAAAGTTGGCTTCACGTAAAAACACACATTTAGACAGATCACACATGCACAAAAACACACACCCAAACTGAGTCTACTGAAATTACAAAATTGGAAAGTCTTAGCATTAAATCTTTCCAAGTCTCTGCTTCAGAACTTTTAAAGAGTCTGGAATTTTTAGAACTCCATATTCATGGGGCAGAGGGGTCTGTGTGCTTACATGAGTGAATGAATTGTGTGTGTGTGTAGAAAGTGGACTCTGTGGCATTTACTGCATTGCTAATATGACTATTTACTAGTTTGTATCTACTTTTCTGCATCCTTCTCACCACTGAATTCTGGGCACCTCGTTGTACAGTGTGTCATCGCAAGTTTTCAATAAATGCTTATTGAATGAATCACTGAGAGAATGACAGGATGGGTTGGTGGGAGTTAATGACAACGGTCATTGATCTAGACATTAACACAAGAGAGAGAGAGCCAGTCATGTGTTCCTATAAACTCTCACCTAACTTTGTGTGACTTGGCACATGGTTTCTCTAAGGAAGAAGAAGGCCCTTGAAGAACTAAGGTTCACCTTCCTCCTTTTATTTGTGTCTACACAAAGGAAACAACAATAGCCCTTAGTGGCTTCAATGGCATTGAAATTCAATTGTGAAAAGATGTTTGTCAAGCTATTACTTTAATTTTAAGGTATTTGGGAGCAGTGTTGGGGAACCAATATAATTTAAACATGGCAATAAATTAGTTTATTGCTACTTCAAACCACTAGAAATATAAGGGTCTGATAAAAAGGTGACAGAATTATCATATAGTGTGATGGGGAGATTGCAGGTGACCCAGGATTAATTATGTAAATTAATCCAGGGTTTTTGTTGTTTCTTTTTTTCTCTACAGAAATGAAAGGCAGGATTTTTTTTAAAAACAGAAACTATCCTTTCTTCACTGGCTTTGGCAAATAATTGCATTATTATTCATTCTGAAAGGAGTAACTAGTTAATTACAGCATGTCACAAGTATTTTGTGTGAGTCAAGGATTTGTTAGGCTAAGGACTGCATGGATGCCTTTAGGGTTGTTGTTGTTTTTTTCCGGCATTTTCTTTTCTTTTCTATTTCAACCTATCTCAGTCTTTTGACATTTTGGCACTGTGATTGCATAGATTTCTTTTTTTTTTCCCTAGGCTATGAAGAAAAAGAATAGCCTTACTTGAAA